AAGCTCATATATACTTAACGCTGCTTTCTGTAGATATATATATATTAGAGATTGCACTTATCTTGATCAAAACAGCTATCTATTCATTCATCGCTAATGCTTAGCATGCATCAAATAATATTGACTCGGCGCTTTCCGAAACTCGCAAGTTATCTTCCTTTCTGATAAACTCCTTACATCTTGAATTTCACAAGAAGCTCTTTCATTAGGTATTTTAAGATGGCAACACCTTTACTCTCTCAAGATATTAACGCAAGAAAGTGTTTAAGATGCTGCTTAAAAGGTCTTGGATGCGTTGTTCAGAAAAGTCTGTTTTTATCTCGTTCGAAATGCTTACATTTATTAGGATGAGATTTAACTTTCAGACATTTGTTGCTCTTAGCATTTTTTCCCAAAGAATGCAGTTCGTTAAGTAACTTTTAATTTAATGACCGTTATTTTTGCATACTAAGATGACATTTTAAGAAGCCGAGAGGCACAGCTTAAATGGGCTAATTAGTTAAGAGTCATCATCAACAAATAACAGTAGTTGAACAACCCACCCAATTTTGGGTTTACGACTACCAATGTTCAACTCCGCAGCTATGTAATTTTGGACCCAGTCAAGAAGACAAGGGAACTACTGGTTCAAGTATTGGGAGAAATTTACTTTCGTGATTTTTCGATGGAACTTACCCGCATGTAAGTTACATGGAGATTAAGACCACGAGAACCTCCCATGGTTAGCCTGACGGCAAGGGATTAAATTGTCAACATCAACAATTTTTTTATAACCATTGTTGAACTGCCGATCTAATTTTGGGTTTACGACTACTAATGTTCAACTCCGTAGCCATGTAATTTTGAACCCAGTCCGAAAGACAAGGGAACTCCTGGATCAAGTATTGGGAGAAATTTGCCTTCATTTAGGACTTTTTGATGGAACTAACCCGCATTTGCGTTACGGGGAGAGGAAGATCACGAGAACCTCCCTGGGTTAGCCTAACGGTAAGGGGACTCTGACCCATGATCCGTCTACCACTGAGGATATTTTACGTCAACACTGTGGTCGGTGCAAGCCGGGGTGGAATTCGTTCAACCAGCCATCAATGGAATTCCAACCCAGCTTACCTCATCAGAAAGCGTAGGCTGTAACCCTTGAGCTATCACCGCTCTCATCAGCAAGTTGTCATATTTACCCCTCGAATCATAAAAATTCATTTTTAGAACGTGAAAATCTGACTGTTTGATAAAGGGATATTTTGAAACGTTTGCTTTTTTTTTTACATTTCCTCTATTTATTTACTTCTAAACAAAGTATGATAACATTCATTTATTGGTTTTTATTATAATACTGCATATTCAGTGTGATCAATCAAATACAGGCGATTTGATTCTATTTCTATACTGTAGAAACAGTGGTGAAATGTTCTCCGACTTTGATGTGGAACAACTCTAAAAGTTATATGAAGGACCTTTTTTTTCAAGCCAACACCAAATCGAGTGTTTTTATATAATTTAAAGCTTGTGTGAAAGTTCGAAACACCGAAAATCCAAAAAGTTTATGCCGAGATAGCACGGCTTGCAAAATACATTAAATAATTTTGCTTACGAAAACTCCACGTTTTGGCTTTAAAATTTTAAGAATTAGGTACTTGCACATCAAGAAGATCTCCCATAACCACGCATATGACGTCAGTGCCAGCAAATCTTTATCAGCAAAATGAAGTATTAGAGGCGAGCTAAGTTTCTCTCTAGATAAGTTTTAGAATATTAATTAAGTATAAGTTATAACGACGCCCGGTGGCTGAGTGGTAGCCCTTCGCGCTGCCGTGCCACAGGTCCTTGGTTCGATCCTTGGGCCGGGCAAGGCCGACTCAGCCTTTCATCCCTTCAGTGGGTCGATAAAATGAGTACCAAGCATGCTTGGGAACTAACACTGGGGGTTCCGCGTTCGGCTGACCACCTGACCGGAACATATGCTCCTGCACCTCAGAGCCCAGGGTCAAGAAAACTGAGATGGGCACAGTCGGCCTTGGCCCTCTTAATGGGCTGTCGCGCCACTGAGTTAGTTAGTTAGTTATAAGTTATAACAGAGCCGTATCGCACAACGAATTAGTTGAAATATAATTCTTTCACGTCTACTTCTTCCACTTTACTTAGATTTATTATTTATTTATGTATTTTATTGTAACCGTAATACATTTTTGTTTTGAGTACCTGGCAACATCAATGCATAATTAGTTTGTTTATGTTCCACGTGACTTCGTACCTGTCTTTGTGTTGAGTCTCTATGTAAATATACAGTGAAAGGATTGACATTTTTAAAAAATAATCTTTGGGAAGGAATTTATAATTGTCACTTAAGAGAAATGATACTTGAAGGGCTTGGCTTACTCGAAATAGAATGGAAAGAACAGTTTTCTAATGCCAAGTTTCAACAACCAATCAGGATCGAGATACCCACACTACGTCACTTGCAGGTATCCTATAAGTGTATTTATCCAACCTAAATTTCTGATTCTTACTTTATATTGTCTCGTAAAAATAACTTTACTGATTCTTATGTGTATCATATCTTACTGTAATTATACATTTTCGTGCTACTAAATAATAAGCATTGTGGTTGGTGGTGGCTATTTTACACCAAGTAATATAAAAGAACATTCTAGGTACATTTACAGTACCAAGAACAACCTTGGGGATTAGTACAGTGGAACACTACTTTGGTATAAAGTTGCTCCCACCAATTTAGGAGTTTCACAACACCAGGAACAATCTTGGGGATTAGTATAGTGGAACACTACTTTGGTGTAAAGTAGCTCCCACCAATTTAGGTGCTTCACAGCACCAGGAACAACCTTGGGGATTAGTATAGTGGAACACTACTTTGGTATAAAGTAGCTCCCACGAATGTAGGTGTTTCACAGCACCAGAAGCAACCTTGAGGATTAGTATAGTGGAACACTACTTTGGCATAAAGTAGCTCCCACCAATTTAGGTGTTTCACAGCACCAAGAACAACCTTGAGGATTATTATATTGGAACACTACTTTGGTGTAATGTAGCTCCCACCAATTTAGGTGTTTCACAGCACCAAGAACAACCTTGAGGATTAGTATAATGGAGCACTACTTTGGTGTAAAGTAGTTCCCACCAATTTTGGTGTTAGGAAAATTTTTTCTAAAGTGTATGTATTTTTATTTACAAAATGTTTTAACTTTAAATAAAGGAATATGATATATGCATTCATAGAATTTAATATATCATTCACACCCATTCATAGAAAATAAGATATATCTATTCATGCGTTCATAAATAGAATAATATCTATCCATTTATTTAAATTTAATTAATAATCCGCCAATCAGTACATTAACTGCAAAAAATGACAAAAATTCAGTTTCGTTAGCTACTTCTAGTCGTTTAATAAAGCTTTTATGGAACATCGCAAAACCCAATTAGGTTTAGTTTTTCAATTCGTCCTCTTTTCTCTATGGGTTTATTCAGAGAAATAATTTCTTTTCCCCATTGATAGAAAAGTTTTCCTTTTACTTGCTAACTAATCTAAAAGTTCATCAAAAGTTGAAAAAAGTTACAGAGAGGAATGGAAAGAAAAGGTCTTGCGTTTTTCTTTAAATTCTAATGGACAAAAACAAATAAGTTTCTAGGCTTTATTTAAATTTCAAAAATGAAATTCTGATTAGAGAATTTATGTTTTACAAAATTCCAAAAAAAAATTATATAATAAAAATGATACTTTATGGTTAGAATAAATTTCTCTAGATATTTCCTAACAAATAGGTGTGTTTTTAAAGCATATCTTAGCACTCATGCTTGGTGTATTGTATATAACACCGCATTTAAAAGAAAAAGAATGCAAAGCTCAAAAGCGGAATTCATAACGAATTATTTTTTTCTTTTCTTTTTAAAAAATTATGGAAAATTCATATTATTACCCATATCTGCCAATCATGGTCATTTCTTTCATCAAGGACACAAAACTCTCTTCTATTTCTCCCTTTTATTGTATCAGACTTAGTTTATAGCACTGTTTAAGGAACAATGCAATATAAAAATACACGTAAAAGGGGCTGTAAACAATATGTAAGAAATAAGCCATTTTGAATTTGAATGTTCAAATTTTAATATTTATATTCTACTTAATTTGAGAAGAAATTTAAAATTTGTCAATTTTCACTCTATTTTATTTTGTAATTTCATTTGATCACATATTTGCATAGTTATTAATGTTTATATTTATTGCATGATTAAGTGTGCTTCGGGTAAAAGCTTATAGGCATGTTTCATATCTGTGGAAATCTCTTTTTAAATATTTTTTCTAACCTAGATTTCGAAACCCTAAATTCGAACATCATGTTGTATCATCCACATCTTCTGGTAATGTGAAAATATCCATTTGTCTCAAATATTATATCTGGAGATTTTAGCGCAAACTTTCATGAAGATTTTGTATGTTTGTGACAAAATTAAATATTTTAGATGTTATACAACTATTTCGAAACACACATTATGGAGTTTATCATAATATGACATCCATTGTTTTGAAAATTCTCAAAATGTTTAAAACACAGACTAAATATGTTAATCAAATTAATGTCATTATGGAAACGCGTGATTACATGTTGTATTTTTAACTTATTTTTTAGATTCTATGTACTTGTAGATTATGCGCAGTAAATAAAATGTATTGTTTTCTCTTAGGTTTCTTTGTTAATCTTTATATATATATNCACTGAGACAATCCAAAAACTTGATAAGCTTTACCATATTCTGGTAATTTTGATCATACTTTTTTTCTAAGTGTAATTAGATTGTCTCAGTGCAAAATTGGACAAAATAACTCCGGTTGACCCATTTATCGCAAATATGACACTTCAGATCGAATCTTTGTCTCTTATATGTGTTGCATAGCTAGTCTGTACTTCCGCTGTCTTTATTAACGAATATTTGGTTTCTATTTTTTCATTGCAAACAAAAAAAAATATTAAATCAAACTGTTTAAATACATAATAAATTCTATTTCTTTATAGTTAACACAACAATACATCTTTAAACAATTCGATGTTAATCAGAATACTCTCCACAATACTTTTTTTCAACGATTTTCACCCTTACAATCACACTCGAGGGAAAAACTGCATTCGTAGGGGTTCTGAAGATTTATCTCCAATACTCGAAATTCCTAGAATTTTATCTCGTTCATCTAAAGATTTGACTGAAAATCTTCTTAAAATATTCGCCAGTATTGTCTTAACTTCCATCAATCCAAACTTTTGACCTGAAAATAGATTTTCATACACGGTTGATTATAGCATAACAGGTTCAATATATATGCTATAAGCAAAACATTACTTTATTTATAACACAAGCAAAGACGTCACAAGACAGAGATGAAAAGAGTGAGACAAAGTTTACATTTCTTTTTGTCAAAGCATGTCCATTAATGCTCAATAACGACCTTGGGTTTAAGATTTAAAAAAAATATGATAAAAGTTATTATTTAAATCCATAGTCAGCAGGCATGTTATTATAAAATTACGACCGAATGGAATTACAACCAAATAAACGAGAAAATAAAAGTTGATTTCAATTGCTTTATTCACTTATTTATTTTATTTATTCTATTTAATTATTTTAGTTAATTTACTTATTTTATTTATTTTATTAATTTGTTTTATTTTATTAATTTATTTTATTTCATTAATTTATTTTATTTTATTTCATTTTATTAAGTAACTTGTTTTATTTTATTTTATGTTATTAATTCATTTATTTTATTTCATTTCATTTATTTATTTATTTATTTTATTTTATTTTTATATTTATTTATTTATTTCATTAATTCAAAATTTTTTGCTAAAAATAAATAAAATTTGGAAAAAACTATGTGAATTAGCTAGAAAAATGCTTTTAATATATTGTAAGATAATGTTGCACGATTTTTCTAATTCAAGTCCATCTATTTATCGGTGTTTGGCAACTATTGTAGTTTTATTTGTAGATGAAGAAAAAAAAATATTCAGTTTTTTCACCTATTCTAAAAAAAAAATCCTTATCTATAACATTTAACAATATTATTCATATAATAACAATTCATGCACTAACAATATAAAACAGATAACATTATAACATATTACTCATAGGAAATTTTAAGACAGAAATGTCAATGTGAAGAACTGGGGTTTGATTCGCAGTGGTAGCTTGATGCTCACCCAACTTCAGATTGATGAGTAAATGCGGCTTGTGTGCAATACTGACCACATTGCCGCAGCAATCGTGTCATTAGTTACAAAATCGGAAAGCCTTACCCTACATGACTTCCCTACCCTACAAAGGGCTTTTGAGGGAATGCATTACTTCATATCTAGGAATTATCAACCCAATGTCTTTTAATTTGAGAGAGCTTGAGACAATAATGAACTATACTTTTTCCACAGGTTACATTTTTTCATCAAAACATTCCTTAGCATTTTTTTTCAGATAGGTATTTTACATGAGTTTTGAGAATTTATTCCACTGCACAGTAAAAAATAAAATGCAATTGTCTATAAAGAAATTTTTGTATTTTATCAAATGTAATCCTTCGAACAATTTGAAAGTTGGCTTATCATTATATTGCCCCACTCCCTCCAACTGAAAGAATGATTGCAGTTGCATATAATGTTGCGGAAACCATTCATTTTAATGGCAGATAAATCTTAGAGCTTTAGTTCTGCTTTTGCATTTGTTCATAAATCTTAGAGAAGTTATGGAATGCAATGCAATATTTACCAATGCAGTTTCTTGGACCAGCAGAAAAAGGTAAATACGAAAATGGATGTCTTTGAGCGCAATTCTCTGGAAAGAATCTTTCTGGCATGAACTTTTCTGGATCAGGATATACGTCTGGATCCCTGTGTACTACGTGTGGAAAGATCACTAAAGAGCTTCCTTTGGGAATTACGCAATCCACTAAAATAATTTTTGGATAGGTTTTTTTTAAAACCATGAAACAGTTTACAAGACATTCAATTATCAGATTTGGCATTTTTAAGCAAATTTTAAATCGCACATTGTGCGTTAATCGCTTAAACTTTGAGTAGATTTGAAATACAATTTTGTTTTTAATTTTTTTCTAATTGAACTTCAAGTCTTCAATCAAATAGAACAGTTCCCCGAATTCATAGTCGTTGTTCTGATTTTATTTGGGTGACGTCACCAAATCTTTTAATTTCTGGAAAATTTAGTCAAGAATTGTTCACCCAGATATGTCACTGAGTCCTTAACATAACTTAAAATCTATTTTTTTAGCTCCCACTCTCACCAAAAAACTCAAGTTTTGATTCTATTTTATCATATTATTTAAATTTCCTCAACCACCATACATATTTATATTCAGAATTAACAAAAAAAGTCCTTTTATTAAAATTAAGAAAGGCCTTTTTTCATACAACGTGTCCCGTAATGAACACCCTTTATACTTTTTTAACCAATCCTTATCAAAACTGAACTAAAAAAAAGTAGTCAACATAGGAATCTCAACTTAGTACTCAATTGAGGATAAAGTAAAAACACTATCGAAATACAACGAATTAAAACTGATGTAACGAGAGTGGTTATACCAAAACCAATTCTATAACCTGATAAAGAATGCTATCCATCAAATTCCTTCAGCAATCAAACAGGATTTGATGAGTCCAATCTCGGCTTATTAAGCAATGATTCGTTCCAACTTTTGTTCTTTTTTATTTCGAACATGTGACCCTTAAAGTATATACTTTTTTAAACTTCATATTCAGCAAGAATTTTATATATATAATTGGATTAAAGCTTTAAAATGGCTTAAAGCTTTAATTGGATTTAAGCTTTGGTGATAAAACACTTTGTAGTTTTAGGATTTCTGTAAAAAATTATATTATGCTGACGTAACAACAATTGTCAAAATTTTCTATATAATGAATTATTGCAATAATTTAAAAACTTCCCGGGAGTCACTAAATCACACACAAAAAAAAATTAAACAACTATTTCGCAGAATAGTAATTAGCAATAAATTGGACAGAGAAGGATGTTTTAACTGAAATAGAACTAATTTAAACAAAACTATAAAAAAAAACATACGCAATACATTGTGTCTAACGTTTTTTGTGTGATTAAGTGACTGCCGGACGGATTTTAAATTTTTACAAAAATTCAATACATAGAGTGCTATAGCAATATCACGGACAACTCTTGAAAATAGTTAAATTTGAAATCTAAATACCTCCATGCGTGCAAAGCCGCAGACAACAGCTATTACAATAAGAATGAGGAAACATAGGGGATTATTATAAATATCTTTAACTCATGAAAACATTAATAATTTAAGTTTTAAATTTTCCTAAATTGCAAGATGCTGATTATTTTTGGACGTATTAAACCTACTTTATAATTTAAAACAAATATCTCGTTTCATAAACTGATTTTTCCCAAATATAACCAGAACTGATTACATAGCGAAGCAGACAGCTTTAATCCTTATTTACATAGACCGCTACTAACCTAGCAGAAAAGCATTACTTATGCGACAGTCCAGTCTAATATAAGCAGTAGTTCTATGTATAGTTAGTCAAGTTTATCTTTATCTGCCATGGTTAAATTATTGATCTGTTTCTTCCTTGGAAAAAAAAACAAAGCTTTGCTGGAATTTATCAGCAATAAGAAGACAAATTGGAAACTAATGGTCAACTACCTACTGGCCACTAGAAAAAACCTCTAATAACGCTAAAATAAATCAGAACTATTTTTACTGCTGCTAAAGAAGATACATTTTAGTGCACAAAATATTTTTTTGGCTAAAAATTGAACATTACATTATAACTTTATTTAATGCTTTCATTTCATTTTATAGCGGTACTTCTTAATCTTAATGTAACAATAACTATTATTTTTTTGTTGTAAAATTTATTTTAATAGATTTTACAACAATTTGATTTGATTTAGATAATTTAATTTTGAGATATTCAAAAAAGTTTCAGTAAATTAACTCAACTTACGAATTTTGAATGTCTTCGAAGCGCATCTCGAGAAATAAGGAACAGAAGGATATAATCTGAGGGTTTCCTAAGAAAAATAACGTTATAAAATGTATTAAAAATTATTTAATGACAAAAGTGATAAAGGCAATTAAAGAGAAAATGAGAGTAAGCAACTAAAAGAAACGCACGTTTTTCACAGAAAATATTTGTATCCAGTAAATTAGAAACTAATAATGAAGGACAGAGTTGGTAAATATCACCAAAGAGAATGATATCGAATTGAAGAGCTTACTGCATCAAGGCTCTAAGTGACAATGTTGAAAAAATTGGGTTTATCGCGGCAATCAAACAGGATTTGATATTTTCCGTTTCGACTATCTCAGAAGTGATTCGTCGCATTTTGATATCGTTTTTGTTTTATCGTTTCTTAAATATTCACTTCTGTGACCCTCAGTATGTAAATGTTACCTTCGAATTATTCATACTGTGAAAAATACCGGATAAAAATTTAACTAAATTGTTTATAGTTCGAAATATATTTCCTTTACACGATTTTGTTTAGTTAGCAATTTTATCACATAATATGATTTTAATTTTACTTAAAAATTCTTTACTTAACAATGGGCTATTGGAGACTGTCAAGGAAACAACCCTGATCATCCTCAGGGATGTTTCCCAGACAGTCAACAATAGCCCATTGCGCAGCTCTAGTGTGACGTAAAAAAAGTACCTACTTACCTACTTAAAAATTCAGTTTATTATCATGTAATAGAATTAACATATTAGGCGTGTTAACTATTATAGTTTCAAAAATAGTACACTGTAAAAATTTCCGATCAAATTACAATAAAAAGTACCGGCACCAGGATTCCGGTACTTTTAATCGTAAAATCCATTTTTATCGAAGCATGTTACGGAACAAAAAAAATCACATATATAATAGTTTTTAAAGTATTAATTACCTTAAGATAACTGATTCACACTAATTAAATAAATATAATTGTAAAAATCACAGTATAATATTTACGATAAAAATTGATTTTTAAGGATAATGCCCCCAAAGTACCGGTACTTCATACCGTGATTTGAATTTGGAATATTTTTCTGTGTTCGGATTGCCTAGCTAATTTGCAAATTAACTAGGGTGTTCCGTTAAAGTGCCAAAAAAATTGTTTCATCCCTTATTAATAGGCACTCTTTAAAGTGAAAATAAGACCTTTGCTTGAAATAACAGCAAGGTGCAGTACGCTTAAATTGATTATTTATTTTTCGCTATCTAAAAAATCAAACATGATAATCGATACATTAGTTGAAAAAATTAATCATCAAACATTTTAAGAAGTATAATTCAAAGAATAAAACGTTTTAAAATACTATTACAATTAAGGTAATTAACATAATATCCTTTATTTAATTTTCTGTAAAGAATCAAGCCAAGCAAAAAATCTACAAATTAGTTGATAATAATAAGAAAAACAAATTTCCGAAGTTTAAGGAATCACACAGTTTAATGAGCAGATTAGCTAGGTGGTGACACATACTTTTTTTGTTTTATTTTTGATAAGGGTTCTAAAAAATGTATACATTAAGGCCACTGGTTACGGAACATCCTGTGTAATTAATAAAACTTATGATTTGAAAAAAGAACTGAATAAGTGTTTGAGTTACCTTGATGGTGCATTCAAGATATTTCATAGCTTTGAGATCGCTTTGAGTTACATCCCTGTCTGCCTGTCCAAATATAGTGTCTAGTTCTTCGTGAATATTTCTCTGCACGTCTTCATACAATCCAATACAGTACAAAGTATAACTAAGGGCAGAACCTGTTGTATCAAAACCCTAAATTGTAAAAATAAACAAAGATTGTTACAGTTTATTGAAATAGTCTTTCTTCTGGAAATGCAGATAAGAAATTTAGTCCACAATAGCATAACAGAATTTCAATAAGGAAATGTTCATACATTGGGATATTTTTCAAGTAAAATTAAATTTAATTATTTCTTTTATTGGCAATATTTTTTAAACCCATTTCCTTATCAGTACACAGGATAGCATCGTATATTATTATTATTAATATTTGATATATTATATTCCATATTTAGTCATGGTTGCGCGGGGGATAGAGCGCTCGCCTTCCTCGAATCCCAGTGATGACTGGTCGCTACGAATTCCGCACCCTGCCCACACCAACCACAGTGCTGAAGTAAAATATCCTTTGTGGTTGATGGATTCTGGGTTAGAGTCCCCCTGTGGTCAGGATTACCTAAGGAAGTTTTCGTGGTGTACCTCTCCATGTAACTCAAACCACGTTCCATCAAAAAGTCCTTCATAATGGGAAATTTTTCTAAATACTTAATCCAGGAGTTCCCTTGTCTTCTGAATTTAGTTCAAAAATGCAACGCTACGGAGTTGAATATGAATAGTCGTAAACTCAAAATTGGGTCTGCTGTTCAACGACAGTTAAAAAATTAAATAAAGTATTCCATATTTACTGTTCTCTATTCTATATTGACCATGATATTGTCGTATTTTATTATTATCGTTGACCGATAATAGTCATGATATTGCAATATATAATTACTAATATTTCAAAACTCGCGTATTTAATCTGTGTATTAATACGAATTATCTGTGTATTTATACGATTGCAAGCGAATTATCATTGTTATGGATGATTATGGTCGATTTCTTTTTCGTATGAGCTGGTTTATTGCTACATTTCGTGACAGTACTTTTTAATATATAGTTTTTACTATGTTTTTAAAAAAACATCGCGAATTCCTGACACATTTGTCTTCCAGATTTTGTCTTAGGCTTATGACATAATAAGAAACCCAACTTTAACATTACATAAGAACCATGATACAGTGCTAAAATAGAAACGAACCTGAAAAGAATGATCTGATGTTCACGTTCTAGGACTCAATCTTAATACTTCGAGGGTGTGACCTACTTAATTCATGCAGGCGATATTTTAAGCTACGCAATCAGACGCACAAACGTACTTTCTCTGAATAAACAGATTCGACAGATTCGTATAGGAAATACGATCCCCATATTTTGATCAGGAGAGCGATCGAAAATTTGATCACCTTAATGTTAATTTTACTTTTTGCGTATTTCGCCATATGTCGAAAACTTTTCAAGAGAATTGAAAAATTGCTGGTGCATACAAAATTCGTTTATCCAAAAATATATCCATGCAAAAAATAAATTTTATTAAATATTTACTATTTTTCATTATTTATTCAGTAATAATTGAAAAAATTTTGAATTGTAAGGTATACAAAAATTATGTAAAAATTTATAGACCTTACAATTCAATCGTTTACGACTGTAATTAATTAAATAATTAAAAAAATTATAAATTTTACTAAAATGTTTTTTTTTTGCATGGAATTATCTTTGGATAAACAAATTTTATAATTGCGTGAAAAGATTTTTCTGTTCGCTTAAAAAGTTCTCGAAATATGGGGAAATACGCGAAAAACAAAATTAACATTAAAGGGAAAAAGCTCGCCTGATCAAACTATAGGAATCATATTTCCCAAATTGCGGCTATCCTCTATATTTAGGGTGTTTGAAATCCAAATTCGTCGAAAAAAAAGTCATGTTTTTTTAGAGAAGGAACGTTTTTGTGTCTGGTTTCGTAACTTAAAATATCGTCTCTCTCTCTCTCTCTCTCTCTCTCATAGAATGCCTGTTGAGGCAGAGGGGTGCCATTGTTCTTGTTTTACAGTGGCGCCATCTATGGCCAAGAATTCGACTTCAGCCACACCCATACGTCACACCCGTTTATAGGGCGGACCCATTCATTCATCCACAGATCGTAATTACGACCTGAATCAGAGAACGATCAATCTCCAAATCAGTACCCCTGGAAGTATTGATTTGTTATTGGAACATGTAAGAATTTAACAACTCGACAAATTTAACGTGCATCAGTCACCATTTACTACACGGAGAGTCTTCGGCCGGCTGGGTTCGAACCCATGAACTCTCCGGCCCAGCGCCCTACCGACCAGGCTATCCCGGCCCCAAAATTTCGTCTGCACTAATTAATTAGCAAATTTTAGATCACCCCCCCCCTCGAAACATTAAGATGGAGTCCTTCAATATGAAGATCCGATCAAACTCAATTCAGGGTGGTAAGCTTTTTTTTTTTTTTGGCACACTACAATAACAAGTGTCAAAGTAAGGAAACATGGCATATGGTGTACGGTAGTACAAATATGACATAAAAAGTACCGAAACTCACAACAATAATTATTAATTGTTATGCCATTCTTACCGCAATGAAGAATGTCAGTACTTCCTCTAAAATATCTTCTTCTGTGAATGTCTTATCCTCCATGTGTAACTCAAGTAGCAAATCCAAGAAGGCTTTGTGTTTCTTCTTTTTAGTAAAACCATTCCTGGTGTCAATCTTTGCACTCAGATGCTTGTTGATATCCTTCTTTTGCCGCAATACCTACACAAGTGCTACGTATGTTCATGGAAGCTAATAACATGTACTACATTCTTTTGAAAATTACAACAAATTAAAACAACAAAATTGTCAATACTTGAGTGCAAATAAAATAAAACAAATGCAGTAAAGCTTGGTTTTCTATTTCTCATTTAATGGTTAAGATTACTTAATCATTATTATTTATAAAGTAAATTTACAAATATGTATATGATTTTGTTTACATGCAGTAGTCAAAAGTCACATATTCGCATTACAACTTGCTCTTGGTTATCGATATCACAAAGATGGGATGGTAGGAAAGCTGTTCCACTAGAATGTAGAATGTTTAAGCAGAAAAAAAGGAAGAGATAAAAGAGATATATGAGTTGTATTTTATTCCATATGTATCACTAAACAACTTATTATAGTAATAATTTCTTTAGTTAACTTGATACAATAAGAATAACTTATTATAGTAATGATTTTTTAGTTAACTTGATACAGTAATAATAACTTGTCATAGAAATAATTTTTTAGCTAACTTGATACAGTAATAATAACTAGTTACAGAAATAATTGTTTAGTTAACTTGATACAGTAAAAATACCTTGTCATAGAAATAATTTTTTAGTTAACTTGATACAATAAAAATAACTTGTTATAGAAATAATTTTTCAGTTAACTTGATACAGCAATAATAACTTATTATAGTAATAATTTTTTAGTTAATTTGATACAGTAATAATAACTTGTCATAGTAATAATTTTTTTAGTTAACTTGATACAGTAATAATAACTTGTAATAGAAATAATTTTTTAGATAACTTGATACCGTAATAATTACTTGTTATAGTAATAATTTTTTAGTTAACTTGATACAGTAATAATAACTTGTAATTTGTTAACTTGATACAGTAATAATAACTTATTATGGAAATAATTTTTTAGTTAACTTGTTACAGTAATAATAACTTATTATAGAAATAATTTTTAGTTAACTTTATAAAGTAATAATAACTTATTATAGTAATAGTTTTTTTAGTTAACTTGATACAGTAATAATAATTTGTTATAGCAATAATTGTTTTAGTTAACTTGATACAGTTATAATAACTTGTAGAAATAATTTTTTTGTTAACTTGATACAGTAATAATAAATTGTTGTAGAAATAATTTTTTAGTTAACTTGATACTGTAATAATAACTTGTTATAGAAATAATTTAAATAGTATGGATTGATTATATTGATTATAACGTAATTGTATACTAAAGCCAATGAAGTTTTTATAATTTTAATTGATTAATTAAGAGCATTTTAAACATTATACAAATTTATGTCTCGTTCTAGTTTAATTAAAATAATGTTTTTGCTTACATTATTATTATTTCCTTACTAATTAAAATTGTGATGCCTTTACTTAGATTTGAATGGTGAATAAACTGCCCGCTTCTATTTTATATTTTTGAAAAAATCTATCCTTCATCTACTCAAAGTACATTTTTTATTCTATTTTTTGCCTATTAACTAAATAAAAGCAAGTCAACTGTATTTAGCTTAATTAAAATCAATATCGTTCTCAAAAATTAAAAGACGGTTGTGATGGTTTTATATTTAATTTTGTCTGAGGGCATTAATTCAGAATATTGCTCGTTTTTAAGTCTTCTTTAAACTTTTATAACCTTTCAAACTTTTTTTTTCTAATCGCATTTACAAACTTTCACTTCTAAGAATTAATTTTCATCACACTGAGGCCGTTTCCACCCATTTATCAAGAACATTTTCCCACTCACAAGCAAGCAGCATTCATAAATCATATTTCCTGATGCACAAAATCGAATGTGATGAGGTTACTGGACAGTGTAAGATTACAATTAAATAAATATCAACTCTTCATTTAATAATTGAAAATTTTAATGTGGGAATATGCTAACGACATTTAACTGAAAAAGAGGAGACAATTTTTAGAATGCATGTAAATATTCGGGGATGTTAACGAATTATAGTTTTCTTATGAAAACGATTTCTTACATTATCTTTTTATTGTGGAATAAATTTTCTTCTATTTTATTCAATGAAATGCTATTATTTGAAATCAATTACCTAATTTTATCTTTTATGGATTCAGGTATTTTTGCTTTTCAAAATAAGGCTCCCAAAAGTATAAAAAATATATTAAATGAGAGACGATGAATGTCATAATGTACTTAAAAAATAGCCTAATAATAAAAAAAGAGTTCTCTTATAGCTTATAATCCTTTTGTGCTAGGGTGCTGGAATTCGAACTGTTGGCTTAAAAAGCAATTCAAGCCTATTATCTTAAAAATCGTTCAAAAGTTTCAAATAATACATTTAGAGGGACGTCTACAAAAAAAAACGAATTTTTTTCATAATTTTAGCATTGTTCAAAAACGAATTTGTTTCTCAATTGTTTAAAAAATACCTGAATATTTGTTTTTGTGCAGGGAAAAATAAGTAAAGACCCATCAAATCAGTATTTATCAATACTATGAAATAATAAACAAAACTGAAAAATATATATCAGCATAATGCTCTTTTCTTGCCTTTCTCGGTAACTGTACGATATTAGATTACGCATAACACGTCTTTGAAAGTTCGTTCCATTAGAATAAAAATGTACTATATTTTCAACATCATGCTATCGTTCGAGGAACTCATGACAATCAAAATTAATTGCAATCGAGAAACTTTTTTTTCTTCCCTCCCGCATAAGACCATTTACCACTGTACATATATAATTGCATTGGTACATATATTAACATATTTAGTACCTACTAAAGCAGAGCCTATTACCAAAATATCAGCAGTATCTGTTACCAAAATTATTTAAACACCATTGGCATCATGTACAGGGATTTTTTACGATCACACAAAGTACTTTTCTTCCATTAATTTTCTATTTTAGTGAACTTAATGTTGGTTTTAATTCGATTATCGTTGATTTTACTTATAATAGTTTTATAGAAACAAGTTTCAAAAATATAGCTATGAGCAAAATAAGCACGTGGTTCTAAATAAATTTCAAAAAATCTGATTCAGGAAAGTAGCTCATTACCATGTTCACGTTGATCATTTATCTAAACTTACATCACGAATAAAAAAATAAGAAATATTAAAGAACGTGCAATAATCTCATTTCTTGATTAAACAGAGCCGTAAGCTAGCAAACATCACTAATCTTCTGTTTTAATTATCTGATAAAACAGATCGTCTGTAGTTTAATTTATAACAATGGCTTATGCAAAATAGCAATAAGAAAAATTCCTTTTCAAACGTCTCTCTCAAACCATCTAATTAAAACTTATGAACAATACCTCTGTTCAAAAAACAAGGCACGGAATTCAAGAAAAAAATCTAGAATTTCAACAGAAAAAAGGGAACAGGTGCACAAACTCTTTCTTCTCTTATATGTTAAGTATCACTAACGATGTTTGCTAGCTTATATTTCTAATAATCAAAAGCGAGTTTCAAGTTTATTGCACGTTTTTATTTTTGGGGAAGGGATTTATTGACAATGCCAACCTTCATCTATCAAAAAGCATTTCAAGATTGAACCGATTTAGCATTATATACTAGTGAATTGATATTTAAAAATCGTAGTGGTAGTTACGCCACAATACTCCCTCACCAGAATTTTATCAGGGATAACTCGAAGAACGGATATCACTAGTTGCCGTATTTTCGAAAAACCGGGAGATCCATGTTAACTTCAGCGGATTTTGAACAATTGTGGTGAGAGTTGTATTATGTTCACCGAATTTAGAGCGTTTGTCAAGAGAGTTGTATTAAGTTCATGGTTGTGTGTGTGGTCCCTCCTGTGTTGCTATTAACAGTCGAGAGTGTGTAGGATCCGGTTGTGTGAAAATAAGACTGAGAAACAACAGCTCGAGGAGGACGATGGCGAAATCACATATAGCAAGTCAACTTTTCAATGTGTGCCATCCATCAAAATAGGAGTGTTCATATCACGTCCGGGTCACCAATGTGTTGAAAGGATATCGTCAATGCCAACCTTCATCTATGAAAAGGTTCCTCAAGATAGAACCGAGTTAGCATGTCTTAGATGCTAGTGAATTGATGTTTAGTAATTGTAGTGATAGTTACACCACATATCTTTGATCGATTACGTCTGATAAGCATAGGCAAAATGTTGATAAAGTGAACATAATGCAATAAAGTGAACCAGGTTCAAATTCCGGCAATTGCTGGTTGGTTCGAATTCCGCTCCCGACTCGCACCGACTACAGTGCTGACGTAAAATATCCTCAGTGGTAGATGGATCATAGGTTAGAGTCCAATTGCCGTCAGGCTAACTGTGGGAGGTTATCGTGGTTTTCCTCTCCACGTAATGCAAATGCGGGTTAATTCCATCAAGAAGTCCTCAACGAAGGCAAAACTTCTCCCACCATATGATCCAGGAGTTCCCTTGTCTTCTGGGTTGGGTTAAAAATTACAAGGATGCGAAGTTGGACATTGGTAAACTGAAAATTCGGAAGGTTGTTCAACGACAGTTATAAAATAAAATAAAAAATAACAAAAAAAATTCAAATAATATTAATAATCTGAAGTATTTTTGAAAACCAGGTTTTTCGAATGAACTCAATAGGAGAAAGTAGTTTCAATTCTGTCACACGTAAAATGTAAGACGCGTCACTCTAATCAGAAAATTTCTTCACCACCTAACATCTTTCAATTTCATTTGATAGTTGATTTCACATTGATTGCTACACTAAAGAACTTTGTTGATCCCAGGGCAATCATGGTGAATGCTCATGCTACATTACTTCGATTTAGCTATTAAAAAAATTACCGTTTTTCCAACTAAATGAACCAGATAGTGGCATCAAACAAAAATGTATACAAACAAATAAGCGCACTATTTTTATTGCATGAAAAGATTAGTTAATTGCACAATGACTATACTCGTCAATGGAAAAATTTCGTTTTCTTCAAAAACTAGAGTCGCCATGTTTTAAGCACTCAAGATTGACGTCCATTATCAAGACCCTCCTTGTTATAACATTGTGCTTAAAAATAACTTCAATAGAGCAAAGCTTCTTTCCATCCCCCGCCCCACACACCAGCTCATCTTGATGCTTCGGAAACTTATTTCATACATTTAAATGCAAATTCTCAAGTTAATGACATCAGTGAATTTAATATGCCCTGATTTACTTTTTTCGGCCATTTCCGCTCCTCTTGGCTACTGTAGTTTTTTCTCGCTTTGTTTTTCCATTTATTATTTTTTCTTTTTTTTATCGGAAACGTTGCTTTTCTTAAACAAAAAAAACTTTATTTAATCATTTACATGTTGATCGGTTTTGGTAATGAGAGACTGTTTTGAAAGTTCTAAACATGCTGAATTTTTCCCCTTGAAATATTAAGTTAAATAAGTTTTTCATCGGCAGCAAGTATATCTTGTTCATTTCAATCACAATCACTCACACACGAAAAATAAATTCAATATGCTCACCTTTTGCATGAAATCTCTGATTATTTTGTGATTCTTTTCAGTTTTCTTCTTTAGGGGATTGAAATAGAATAAAATATCTGACAACAGCCATGGCCTGACGATTCTTGAAACAGAGTATGACACTCCTCTAAGAAAAAAATTACAGAAAAAACATTATAAATATTTTGTACAACACTTGACTACATTTTTCACAAATGATAAGTTAAATTTTAAATATAAACTGCATTTTAACAAATGTCGAAACTGCAGTTTATATTGCATTTAATTTTATAACAGTTGTTGAACAGCTGACCCAATTTAAGTTTTACGACCACCAATGTTCAATTCCGTAGCCTTGTAATTTTGAACCCAATGCAGAAGACAAGGCAACTCCTGGATCAAATATTGGGAGAAATTTGCCCTCGTGGAGGACTTTTTGATGGGACAAGCCCGCCTTTGCGTTACATGGAGAGGAAAACCACGAAAACTTCCCGCTTTTAGTTTGACGGCAAAGGGACTCTAACCCGTGATCCGTCTACCACTTAGGATATTTTACGTCTACCCTGTGATCGGGGCGGAATTCGTATCGCTGGGATCATTGGAAAGTTAGCGCTCTATCCCCTAAAATACCACGGCTCAGTTTATATTGCATTGCCAGAAACATCACTTGATCTAAAAAGGTGGATCATAATTATAACGAAGAAGGTATTGTGTGTGAAAATTTCAAAATTCTGTTGTTGAGAGAGCACCGTTTCTGAACCAAAATTTAATTAACCTATTCTAGAGTTTAGATGACTCGAACTAGCACTGCAAGTATGGAATTTGATTTTCACATTGATAGACAACAGTTTATTTTAATTGTAAAAATATATGGGCTGTGTTAAAAGTACTAGATTTTATTTATTTGTTTTTTAATTATATGTCGCAAGCTGGATTTGCAACATATTAAAAATCCGATAGCATCCATAGCAACTGATGATACAAAATCTAACTTACAACTTACATATAATCAAATTACAAATTAACAAAAATCTAGTACTTTTAACAAGCTGCACCTTGTTCCATAATGATGTTAGATGAAAAGAACTTACTTTTTAACAGCATCGATACATGCAATGATTTCTTCATCATCGGCATCGAATTTTATACCCATGGCTGTTTCTGTAAAGGAAAAGAATTAAAAATTTTAACGAATAAATTTAATTATTACAATGTAGATTCAACGAAATTATATCGATGTCTCTTTTCATGTTAAATTCAAAGATATTATTTAAAGCACTTTGCAATTAAATATTAAATTTAATTTTGAAATATGTATACATAATTTTTCAAAGCTCCAAAAAATTAAAACTTCGATGCATATTTTTAGATTCCTTGTCAAAAATGAAGTCAAGAAATTAATGTTAAGTTTAACTTCAAAATATGCATTAGATAAATTTTTAAAGTGCCAAAAAATTCAAATTTCGATACATATTCATTAGATTCCTTGTCAAAAATAAAAGTCAGGAAAGTTCGTATATTAAAGGTCAAAATTAATATTAAAGTCAGAAATAAGAACAAAAACGTTTCAATTCTAGCAGATAACGAATGCTGAAGATGCGAATGAAACATCAAAATCTATTTGATTGCCGTTAGAAAGTGAGAGGACCGGTGAAAAATGATTATTGGAAATCAGGCATTCAAACTAGTTTTGATGTTTTCAGCCTTTGCTTCCTCAGGAGTGATTCATTAAATTTCGATAATATTATTCTTTCGTCACTTAAATATCAGCTTTAGACCATTTATTTGCATACTTTTTAGACAAGGTTTTAAAAAAATATATATTAAGGGTAATCATTATAGAATAGGAACTGTAGGTAGTCCTTTTAAAATAGTTTTAAAAATCCTATAATTATTTCAAAATTTTTATTGATGTTGTTTCTGTTTAGCCTTTTTTCTTACGACGCTTAACATGATGAAGCCATTCTGGTTCACTTATTGTACCAGCCGTAAGCAAAGGGTTAACTCTACTTGATATGATTTCTTATTGATATAATTTCTGTTTCACCTTTTGTTTACGACGCTTTATTGATGTCATTTCTGTTTAACCTTTTGATACGACGCTTTATTGACGTAATTTTTGTTTAACCTTTTGCTTACGACGCTTTATTGATGTGATTTCTGTTTAGCCTTTTGCTTACGACGCATAGCATGATGAAGCCATTCTGGTTCACATATTGTACCAGCCGTTAGCAAGAGGTTAACTTTACTTGATATGATTTCTTATTGATGTGATTTCTGTTTCACCATTTGTTTACGACGCTTTATTGATGTCATTTCTGTTTAACCTTTTGATACGACACTTTATTGACGTAATTTTTGTTTAACCTTTTGCTTACGACGCTTTATTGATGTGATTTTTGTTTAACCTTTTGCTTACGACGCTTTATTAATGTGATTTCTGTTTAACCTTTTAAGTACGACGCATAGCATGATGAAGCCATTCTGGTTCACATATTGTACCAGCCGCAAGCAAGGGGTTAACTTTACTTGATATGATTTCTTATTGATGTGATTTCTGTTTAACCTTTTGATACGACGCTTAGCATGATGAAGCCATTCTGGTTCACTTATTGTACCAGCCGTAAGCAAAAGGATAACTCTACTTGATATGATTTCTTATTGATGCGATTTATGTTTAACCTTTTCCTACAACGCTTTATTGATGCGATTTCTGTTTAACCTTTTGCTTACGATGCTTAGCATGATGAAGCCATTCTGGTTCACTTATTATACCAGCCGTAAGCAAGGGGTTAATTCTACTTGATATGATTTCTTATTCATGTGATTTCTGATTAACCCTTTGCTTACGACGCTTAGCATGATGAAGCCATTCTGGTTCGCTTTGTGTACCAGCCGTAAAGAAAAGGTTAACTCTACTTGCAAACATGCAATTTTATAAATGCCTTTCACGATTACGGAAACTCACCCAATATCACATCCATACTGCAAGAATGCATGATTGTATCTACTTCTATATATGGTTCATCCAGGTAAGAATTCAATTTAGACACTAATGTCTCAGATTTTTCTTGTAAAACAGGAAGAAAATCTTGCAGAATTTTAAAGTGAAACGTTTGAGTCAACAGCTTTCTTCGGGTTTGCCATTTTTCTCCTGCACTAAAAAAATAAATGCATGAATTTTGAATAATAATTTTAAATATTTTTTTTAATTTTAAATTCTTTTTTTTTAATATTTTTGTGTTTTATGTAAAGCAGTTTCAAAAATGGTTATAAAAGGTAAAATTCACTCGCATTTTATTTATTTTACATTATAGCTGGCGTTGAACAGCCGATTCAAATGGTATTTGTGGCAACCAATAGTCAATTCTATAGTTTGAAACTTAGCTCAGAAGACAAGATGAATCTTGGAATCGGGACAAAATTGTTTACGTTGAGGAGTTCTTAACGAAACTTAGCATTTCATTGAAAGAAAAGATATAAAACACTCTCATGGTTAACCCAACGACAAGAAGATTCTAAATCATGATTCGTTTTGAATTTTAAAAATTTCTAAGTTAGTATTATTGTCTATACCACCCAAAAGCAGTAGACAAATTGTCCAGCTATAGTTGTGATTCAAACGTAAATCGCCTCTTTGGGAAGCAAGTGCTCTAACTCCTGAGCCATTCCGGTTTTCCGTTCACAGTATGTAATGTTTGGACAAAAACTATTTTTAAAAAAATCGATCATAAATAATCACTTTCACCCACTCGCATTGTTTCATTCAATTCTAAATAATAATAATGCTTAATCGAATTATAAAGTGAAATTATTGAAGTATGAAAACTCAGATGCAAAGTTTTGAAACTATTGATTATGCCATCAACATATCGTGAGACCATGTTTGGCGATCAATTTTGATTATAAGTAATCTCTAGGGGACAGAGTTTTGTTGTAAAAATAAGCTCGAGCTGTCATAAACTTACTAAAAAAGAAATATCTAGGAGATGGTCTTCTTTTAAAATAATCTCAAATAGACAGAAATTAATTTCAAAATAATTTTTAGATAAATGATCTTTAAAAATAAGCTCAAGCAGATAGAAAATCACCGAAAAATTAAATCAAAGAGACTGACACTCGTTTAAAAATATTCTCAAACATGCAGAATGACGTTTGAAAATATTCTCAAACATGCAGAATGACGTTTGAAAATATTCTCGAACACGCAGAATGACGGCTTAAAATAATCTAAAATAAGCAGAATGTCGTCTGAAAATAATCTTTAGAAAAAATGATCTTGCTTAAAAAATTAAGTTCAAGTAGACATAAAATCACTGAAAAGTTACCATAAAGAGTCAGAATCTCGTTTGAAAATAATTTTGAACAAGTTGAATGACGTTTGAAAATAATCTCGAAGATGCAGAATGACGTTTGACAATATTCTTTAGAGAAAACGATCTTGTTTAAAAATAAGCTCGAGTAGACATAAGCTCGCTTGAAATTGATCTCTAATTCAGAATTCTGTTTAAAAATAACTAGCCTAAAATTAAACTATAAAAAAGAAGCGAAATCTTGTATAAAAAAAATCTTTGAACAAAATATGCAGAAAATTCTGTGAGAGTAAGAGTTAAAACATTTCGTAAACCGATAATTTTTCTCATATAAAATTTTGTCATTCTTCTCATTCTTCTAGAACAAAATTAAAGCGGTCACTCGAAAAAAATTTAGATTTCTTTTTTTTTTTGAAGAAGAAGAAGAAGAAAAACAAACAAAAATCAAAAACTCATTTCAACTTTTTTTGAATTGCTTCCGATTATCAATCATGCTTCGAAATTTTAAATCTTTGTTTTTATTATTAGTTAAGTTTTTATGCATTTTTGCTTCGTTATTTTTAATACTTAAATATTAGTTACAGACACATTATGTACATTTATGTATATATTTTTCATGATATTTGCAAAGAACTCTAAAAAATATACATAATAAGAATTTTCAATATAGAACACCTATATTTAAAATTTTACTTACCTCGTAAATAATCCTTCCCTCAAAAGTGCATTAAACACTTTATACTCATAACCTTTTTTAACGAACTTAGAACTTCCTAACACTACCTGAAAGAAGAAGAATTAAAAAACTTAAACTTCAAAATCATAAAGATTTCGCTTAATTTCTGAAGTCAATCATTATAAAATGTAACTTTAACACATAAAAAGAATGCCTTAATTTTGTCTGAAAAAAATTTTTGAAAAAAGGTACTTTTATAAACTTTTGAATCACTTAATTTCCTAAAAAAGTGAAACAAACTATTAAAATAGGTAAATTTAAAAGTATAAAGAATCCCATAATCTTCGAACACTACTTGAAAAAAATCATTAAAAGAAAGTAATTTTAAATAATGTAATCACTTAATTTTATAGCACAACCTGTAACAAATCATTATAAAAAGGCATTTTTATAGCAAAGAAATCCCTTGATTTCTTAATACTACCTGAAACAAATTATTAAAAAAAAGGTAAATTTTACAGCATTAAAGGAATTACTTGATTTCATAACACTACCTGTAACAAATCATTAAAAGGGTAATTTTATAAGATAAACGGAATCACTTTATTTCCTAACGTTACCTGTAACAAATCAATAAATAAAAAGCTGTTTAAAACTTTGATCTGAATTACTAAATAGAGAAACGAGACTTGTTCTTGAATAATAAATTATTTGTAGGAGTAACGATGACGAAAGAATAATAAATGAAAGAAATAATTTCAAAAATAATATTCTGCAATAAGTCAGTTTTTTAAATACTGTGCACATTGTTTTCTGCACTAGGTGATTTAAATGCAACAATAAGAATTAACTAAATAAGACCAGAACAGATTTGATTTTTCTGTTCTGATCTTATTTATTCCGGATTGATTTTTCATGAATATTTTCGAAAAAAAAATGGAATATTTGCTTTTAAGGAACTAAGTTTAGAACTTAATAGAGGAAGAACCTTGACAACAACGACTGATTTTAACGATTGTGGTTTTCTTTCTTTGTCTTTTCTTATTAAAAATGAATTTAAAAATTCCATTTATCATTAATATTCTATTAACCTAATGATTACATTTGAAAGAAAATCTTAAAAATGAGTATTAAGAAGGGGGATTAAAGAATACTACTATTGTTTTATACTTAATTTATCACTTACTTCAGCAGTTTCAGGTTTGAAGAAAAATACCACTGTTCTGTTAAATATAGTGATGCAAGCTATTTTCTCTTTTTCGTAGAGTTTACAGAAACCATGAATATAGTTCATAACATCTAGGCAAAATAAATAGAATAATTGTAAAATTCAGATAAAAAATCATGCACTTTCTTATTAGACAGATAATTCACATGATATGATCCAATTTTCCCATACAAACACCAGGACTTCTTTTGATAAAATTACAAAAGATATAAAGGCATTGCTTCCCACACAGCCACCGCTATCCCAGGGATATCCAAACACGTCTGTTACTTATCCAAATATCCAGTGGATATTCGGATATGTTCCAGACTTCTTACAGATATCTAAACACATCTAAGTCCATGAGTTAGATATTTTAGACATCTCTGGGATATCATTTTTGGATATCTGGGGGATGTGGTAATTTGGTTATTATAGAGATATCCAGGCATATCTAAGTTCTAGATATGGACATTTTGGATATCTTTTGGATATTTAATATAGATAAGTTTAAGACATGGATCACTGGATGTCTGTAGNGGGTGACCACTTGGATCAGTCTGCGTAGGGACCGAGGGTGTGCGGTATTGGTCCTCGTTAAACTGTGCTACCGTAAAGTGCTCGACTTCGCGCGCAGGTCGTCGGGCTACCGAAGCGGGGGTGCCATCCCTTCCGCAGAGGATCAAAATTGTGATGGCATATCTTCGGATCATCCTCCGGGATGTTTCCCAGACCGTCGCCAATAGCCCACTGTGCAGCTCTAAGTGCGGCGTAAATTAACAACAACAAGAAAAATACCGAAAAATTACATCAAAAGCAAAGGAGAAAAACAAAAACAAAAAAAATATTGCTTTATAGAACTTGGAGACGTTCATTATAAACTCATTTCAGCTCTTTTCAATTTCTCTTGATTATCAATCAGGATTCGAAGTTCTAATTTTCGTTTTTATCATTTACTATTAGTTAAGTTTATTTGCATTTTTGTTTGGTTATTTTTGACTTGAGCATTAGTTAAAGACACATTATGTACATTTGTGTATATATTTTTTAATGATATTTGCGAAGAACTCTAAGAAATATATATAGTACGAATTTTCAATATAGAACACCTTTATTTAAAATTTTACTTACCTCGTAAATAATCCTTCCCTCAAAAGTGCATTAAAAACTTTATACTCATAACCTTTTTTAACGAACTTAGAACTTCCCAACACTAACTGAAAAAGAAAATCATAAAGAAATATAATATTTAAAGTCATAAAGATTCCGTTTAATTTCCTAACACTACCTGAAGTCAATCATTTAGAAATGTAACTTTAAAACATAAAAAGAATACCTTAATTTTATCTGAAAAAAATATTGAAGAAAGGTACTTTTATAAACTTTTGAATCACTTAATTTTTTAAAAACTACCTGAAACAAACTATTAAAAAAGGTAATTTTAAAAATATAAGGAATCCCATAATCTTCTAATTCTACCTGAAACAAATCATTAAAAGAAAGTAATTTTTTATAACATTAATTTCTTAATTTCATAACACTACCTCTAACAAATCATTAAAAAAAGGCAATTTTAAAACAAAGAAATCTCTTGATTTCTTAACACTACTTAAAACAAATTATTTAAAAAAGGGTAATTTTATAGCATTAAAGGTATTACTTGATTTCATAACACTACCTGTTACAAATCAATAAATAAAAAGATTTTTATACTTTCACCAGAATTACTAAGTAGAGAAACAAAACTTGTTCTTGGATGATAAATTATTCGTAAGAGTGACGATGACGCAGAAATAATAAATGGGAGAAACAATTTCAAAACTAATATTCTGCTATAAATCAGTTTTTAAAATTTTATCATTAATTTTCAGTTAACCTAATGATTACATTTGAAAGAAAATCTTAAAAATAAGTATTAAGAAAGGGGATTAGAGAATACTATTGTTTTATACTTAATTCATCACTTACCTCTGCAGTCTCAGGTTTGAAGAAAAATACCACTGTTCTGTTAAATATAGTGATACAAGCTATTTTCTCTTTTTCGTAGAGTTTACAGAAACCATGAATATAGTTCATAACATCTAGGCAAAATAAATAATATAAATGTAAAAATTCAGTTAAAAAATTATGCTTTTTTTTTATTAGACTGATAATTTACATGATATGATCCAATTTTTTCATACGAACATCAGGACATCTTTTGATAAAATTACAAAAGATATAAAGGCATTGTTCACCTATAAAATATTTCTTAATCCCTAACTTAATGTTATTTACCAGTAATATTTAGATTAAAATCTTAGATTTCATCTTGAATCTTCAGAATGGTTAATTTTCTTTATAAAAATATTCATTTAGTAGCCCTAATTAATGCCTAATAGTGAGCAGTATATAGTATATATAATGACAAAGAAGTTTGGCTGATTCACAACCATGACACATAGAACGTATCGCATACAAAATAAGATACTATAAAAATAATTTACAAGTAAATAATATATAGTGAGATTGGATTAATTTATTTAAATATAAGATCTCTGTAAAGTTATAAACAATTTTAAAGAAAGTTACTTAACAGAGACTGTGATTCTCTGCTTCTACAGGGATTTGAGGATATCTTAACATCATAATAGAAACTACAAGAAGATACATTCAAACACAGAAACCACCAAAACCACGTGAAGGAACTTGACTTTTTTATCAGTAGGAGTCATTATGCATATTAAATTGTAGACATTCAGTTCAACTTTTTCACACTCCCGTGTATTAGGTATAACTTCATATAATTTGTTGCTGCCTATTCTCCTTTTTTTAATATTGTTTGTAGCTATTAAAATAAAAGGCGAAAAGTTAAATTAATAAATTATTATCATATTTTTAACAAAAAAAAGTTGACAAGTAATACTTTCTAAAATGTTGAATTAGCTTCGAACAAGACCGTAGCCAGGATATTTTTTCGGGGAGGGGGGGATATGGTAAGAAGCAAGGACAGTTTCAGACATGCAAAGTAGGGGGAAAACATTGTAACAAATATTGTTTATTCTGTTGTTTGCAAAAGTTAAACTAGTAATTAAAAAATATTACATAATAATTATTTTTCAATTAATATTACATAATAATTATAATCAATTTGTAAACAAAGTTTACAAAGACATGCGACGGGGATTTGAAGAAACTTTTTTGATTACTTTCTTAGGACAAACCAGAATATCCCGAAATATGCTTAATAAAGTTAGTTAATAAAAGGTTTGATTCGACAGTTTTTGTTTTTCTTTTTACTGAGAGGCTTAAAGAAAGACTAAAATGTTTGAACACCAGAATTTCGGGGGGAGGGATTTGTCCCGCCCCCCCCCCCCCTGGCTACAGGCCTGGCTTCTAAGTTTGAATATTTTAGTGATATCACATGAAATTTCAAACTGTTCTTAATGTAATCAACCTAATTCCATATATTTTATTCATTTTTTTATAAAATAAACCTTTGTTGAAAAATTAAAAATCGAAACAAAATTATTTCTTCCTTTTTGTCATTTTCCGGGCATTCAAGTCCCAGGAAAGTGACAACCAGAATATTGACATTTATAATTTTAAAGTTCTTTTACTTCCATTTTCTTCTACTTTTAGGCCTAACACTTTAATTTGGTGCTGTTAATAACTTAATAAAATCTGAATAATAATAATAAATCTGTTATAATAAAATAATAAACTTAATAACTTAATAAATCTGTCGTTAATAAAATCTGACAACATAAAATGCTAACATAAAATCTCTTTAAACGGCTTGCTTTCGAAAATTGGCTTCTCTGTTCTTTCTCGAAGATCTAACAAAATGACCGACCTACCAATCATGCAATTTAAACACGCGTTCTTACAAAATGACATAACAATCATGCAATTTAAACTTATGTTTAAACAAAATTTAAACAAGATTAATAAACAATAGCGCAATTAATCTAAGCTATGGAGAAATGAAAATAAGTGGCTAGAAAAATTTTATATTTTCGTTAGGCGCACAAATTATTGACAGGAAAACTTATTTTAACAAAATATTTCTAAAATCGTTCTTTGGGCACATACTCTGGAAATGCGATTATTAGTTTAAATGTCAAGAAATAAAAACTGAAGAATGCATATGGAGTTTTAAAATATTATTTATGACATGCCAGGAAAACGACATTTTGAAATTTAACGTAGATTTTTAAATACAGAACATTCTCGATGTTTCGAACTTAAAACATTATTGCGTCAAAAATATATTTTCCCCTTGACATTATATATACACCTGATATTATTTTGAATTCCTATGTCGAAAATTTTCTTCTTAAAACTTCGTTAAGTCGAATTTTCTTCGAAATATAAATTGAATTTTTTCTTGAAAATTACAAAGTAAGTTTATTATAAAATAATTCTTTTATATTTAATGCATAATTATTTTGTCTTTCTCTTAAAAATAAAATTACCATAGTTGAGTTTAGACTTATTGTCAACTATCATTGCATACATATTTAATGCTAGCTATTCTTATGTTTTTTGACTCTACTTTTTAGAATAATATTTTAGAATGTGTTTTTCTAATTTTGGAACATATTTAGTTTTGAACTTGTTATCTCGAATTTTTTTAGCCTCTTTTGAGCTTTGAGATATCGAAAGTATACTGTATATATAATTATTAAAACCAATGTAAAATCATTATAGAAATTTAATAATAATGGCAGTAAATAAATTTTCAACAAAATCGCCATTTTACCTAGTGACAAATACTGAAACTTCTTGAATTTTGTGAGAATAACCCACTTATTTAATATTATCTTATTTCATTTTTGATTTTGATTATTCAAAATTAAAGGTTTAAAACTAAAAAATGATACTTTTTATAATAAAATAATTTATTATAAAATGATACTTTCTTATTACGCTACATTTAATGATAATCATATTTATTAAAACAGTTTTCAAACAGTATTTGACTAGCATTATTAAATACGTTAAATTTATTTCATTATAAGCTACGTATTCAACTGTATCTAGTCAATAAAATGCGCAATCAAAATAATGGGAAAAAAAGTGTAAAATACGATTAGAAATTTATTTTTCTTATTATTACTAAATAACCTCTTCTGCAAAAGCATTTAACGAGTTTTCACCACAACAAAAATTAAACAAGAATTTAGAAAACAAATTTGAAGATAAAATTGCAAAGGTAACCGAAATAATTAGCTAAATAATAAGTTTTATCCCAATAACATTCTGTTAATATATGCTAATACAATAAAACATTTTTGGATCTTAAAATAGTTTTTTTTAAAAAAACAATATGTTTATCATCAAGAAAAGAAAGTTGATTTTAGTTATTGCAAAGCTAGAGTCGCGATAGCTCAGGGGATCAAGCGTTCGCCTTCCAATAAGGTGAACCGGGTTCGAATCCCAGCGATGGTTGGTCTATCCAAATTCCGCATCCGGCTTGCACCGACCACGGTGCTGACGTTAAAATTTCCTCAGTGGTAAGCGGATCATGAGTTGGAGTCCCCTTGCTGTCAGGCTAACCGTGGGATGCTCTTGTGGTCTTCCTCTCCATATAACGCAAATAATGGTTAGTTCCATCAAAAAGTCCTCCGTGAAGACAAATTTCTCCTAATGCTTGATCCAGGAGTTACCTTGTCTTCTGGATTGGGTTCAAAATTACACATCAGCTGAGTTAAATTCAAGTCGTCGTAAGCTCAACAATTCAACGAACGGCTGTTCAACGACGCTCATAACATAAAAAATAAAAATATATTGTAAATAAATATATTTCAAATATCGTAGATTCTTTGAAATATATTTATTACAATTTATTTGCTTATTTATTTTTTGCCTGATGCCTTCTCATTCATTCATAATATCATAATTATAGATATTCCGAACACAACTGGGCCCTTAGGCATTGACAACAAAAATCAATTATAACAATAATTGATTACAGATAACTAACTATGCGTATTCGTATTCCTAGATAATATTAATTTGCATATCTCAAATTTTATAGTTAAAATATCATAGTGTCGTAATTAAAAGTAATGATAATTACAAACAATCCTATTAACTTTAATTACAAATGATCATAATAACATTGAATATCTAATTACATCTAATAAAGTAATTATAAGCCGCGATTACAATATTACGGATTACTTTTTATAGTGATGTTTTAAAACTAAATGTTTATTACTATTATGTACTATTTATCTATTATTCATGTTTTAAAACTAAATTAGTTGATCAACCGTTCTTCAGTTATACTGTAAAAAATTACGGTAGAGAGTACTGGCACCCTGAGTATTTCATCCATGAAATCTATTTTAATCGTAAGATCCATTTCATATATATATATTTCATAATTAACTTATATATTTAATAAGTTCATTAAACAATACTACAGTCATATAGCTAATATAGCTAATACTACAGTCAATAACAAAAGAGCAAATTGAGTGTAACTAGAGGGTTTTAAAGTGCCGTTCTTACTGCACTGCTAAAGTGATTTGTTGTTCTGTGCATTGATTTGTTAGTTATCAAGGATGGGCCCGAAATGGATGTGCGCAAGGTAATATTATACTGGATAATTTAAAAAAGTTGACCTTAAATAGTTTTAGAAAATAGATGTTTATTTAAGTACAAATAGAAAAGAGAAACATAAATTGCCTGTTTTGCAAATAATTTTAGCCACGGATTTGCCCGAAATGGATTTGCACATGGAAAAATTATATAAATTATCAAAGAAAAAATTTTAATAGATAGTTTTAACGCGGATTTGCCCGAAATGGATTTGCACATGGAAAAAT